GATAAAAATCGCTCGTGTGCCCCTAGCATAAGGAATTATTCTCAGCACTTCCTTCTTTCCAGGTTCTCAGAAGTAGCATGTGGCATCCGTTTTAAGGGTAGCGTCAGGTTGCGTCGATAGAACGATCGAATGATAACACGAACACAGTATTATAAAGCTACTCTTCGTGCTTCTATTACATCACAGAATATGCTCTTTACCAGCCTAAACAAACAACTCTACGATGCTACACAGAAGTCTACACACACAGAATACCGAATATCAGTAACCTCGTACCGTGAGGCGTGGATCGCGAAGTACCTCGGCGAAGTGAAGGTGGAAGGTGGAAGGTGGAAGGAGTATCGAAGGAATAGGAAGGAAAGATCGGGAGCGCGGGCAAAAGCTGGACTGTGCCACGGAAAAGATGAGAGCCGAGTTTCTTTCTACTTGCGCGTTTTGCGTCAATAAATCCGGTCCCTAATCGATGACGCAGGTGCGTTACGGCGGGATCAGATCACCAATATGATTGTGTCGCCCGGTGGTAAAATTTTTCCCACTTGAGTTCCGGACCACAGCCAATCAGCGCACTCCATTCACTCGACTTCCTCGAAGCAACAATGTAAAATGAATCCGGCCTATACCTAACCCTAACCCTAACCCTAACCCTAACACGTAACCGAATCCTACACATAACTATAATCCAACCATATATATAAGCACCATTTATTACAAAACACTATCTATGGTGGGTCCGGAACTCAAGTGGGAAAAAATCTTCGCCGCCCGGCGGATATGGCGTGATTTATTGTGATTGCGTACGCCGTGCGGCGAACTCATGTAGAATCATGGGCAACTATACATGTTAATGCTATCTGGAGAAGCCGGCGCTTTCCTACATTTTTCCAACGACGTATGTCGTTTATGCGATGCGCCCGTTTATCCGAGGCTCGATAAAGCGGGGGAAGCACTGTAGGTAATATTCGATTTGGAGTTATGCAAACGGCGTACCTCCCTCGAGTGGCTGGATACGCTCATTTTAATCTTGCTGTGGTATAAATAGGTATTACTAAATATATTATATATTTCTAAGTTCGGACAGGCTGCATGTGTGTGCACATGCGCGTGAAGATATATAATCATATTGCCGTCTGCAAAATATTGCACGCTGCTGCCATCTACAGGAGAGTAGTGAAATCTATTGAAAACACCGTATCCAAGCGTAAAGGCGACTACGGAAAGTTATTGCGAATGGTTGAACGGACAAGGAATTTAGGAAAAAGAATCGAATAGGAAAATATGACTACCGTGTATTCTCTCTCTCTCTCTCTCTCTCTCTCTCTCTCTCTTTCTCTCTTTCTTTCTTTCCCTCTTTCTCTCTCGCTCTCTCTCTCTCTCTCTCTCTCTTTCTTTCTTTCCTTCTTTCCCTCTATCTCTCACTCTTTCTCTCTCTCTCTCCCTCTCGTCCTCTTTCTCTCTTGTTATAACAACGTGCCTACACTCTTCCGTGCTAGATACCAACATCTCCTCTTCCGCCCTCTCTCTGCCTCTGTGTCTCTCTGTCGAACCGTGACCGTGCTATGTGTACATTTAGTAGTCGTAAAAGACGCATGATCGATCGATGGATGGAGATACGCAGTTCACACGATGATATTTCACCTGATGAGAAGATAATAAACTAGTTTTATACACGCTCTATTAGGATCTATTCGATTGTGCTTCTTATAATAGAATAATTGAAATACAATAAGTGAAACACTAGGATGAGCCTCTCAAGATACTCGAGAGTATGCGCTCTCATAGTTTAAAAAATCGCAAATCTATTATATTTATATTACTCTAATCTACTATCTATATTAATAAAAATCCTATTTCTATTGGTATGTCATAATCTGAAATGCCGGCACCATCTTTGCTCGTGACGTCCCTATATGTTGAATTCATCGGCAAATGGCGTTCATAGGAGCATGAAACAATTACGTTGACACCATAACAGAGCCGTAGGCTGAGCAGATTCCTAGGGGGGGGGGCCAAAATTTCGGGACTCAATTGTGTAACGATGAGCGGCGGACGCAGCTCTTGGTCGACGTCCATATAGTGTGGTAGGGGTGGGTCTGAGACAAGCTTTCACGGATAAGTGTCCAAAAAAATCACGTTAGGGTTATTTACGATTAGCTAAACTATTTTTTTTACTTTTGCTCTAAAATCTAGGGGTCAGTTGCCCTCCCCTCCCCCCCCCCGCTGGCTACGGCCCTGCATTACATAGTTGCTAATGAGCGGTCTTCATACTTTCCAGACGACGGGGGGGGGAGGGCAATCTTACATGTACAATACATAAAGGCGGACGGTAATTTTCGGGACGTAGGCTGGAAACATTTTAATTATTTTCGGAACCGGAAAATATCAGATGAATTTTTTTCGTGATTCGGGAATAGAGGTCAACGGGGGGGATACGCGAGAAAGCCCCGAATTGTGATTTTATTAACTTTGGACATTGGAAAATGGCACATTGTAGAGCTGACACGCTGGAAATGGACCCACTCTAATAGAGAGTAGTAATGCGGAGTTATAAAGTGCTGAGGCCGTGAAAGCAAAATATTTAACATTCATCTAGCGTCTCATCGTGTGTGTGCCGGGGTGTGTCCATACTGTACCCGCCACGAAATTAAATCAAGGCCTCAAAGCGATGCATCCATCATCCGCGTACTGTCTCGTCACAGTGATGACAGCTACAGATGTCACCGCTTTATCGGGACAGGTCGGCAAGAACGGAGTCCCGATTAGGCGGTGGTCCCGGTTAATCGGTCCAACTCTGACAACGTGCATGGGAATTATTTCTCTAATTATGGTAGGGGCACACGAGCGATTTTTATCGCCCGATCGCCGCGAATTTTGAAATCGCTCGAAGAAATCGCCCGTGTGCCCGTTCACGTCGACGCCGATTTTAATCGGCCGACCGAATCGCCCGTATCCAAAATGTTAGATATTTTCGGGCGATTATTTACGCTCGTGTGCCCGTGACCGGCGTATTTTGTCGCCCGATCGATTTTTCTAAACCA